AGCGAGAACTAAGGTCTGATTTTAATGAGATTGATATATCAGTTTAGTTGTCAAAATTTCGGGTTTGATACCCAACATAAGTACGAAGTCTGACGCCCATTTTGTAGTCCCCCGCTGAGAGTGCCGATGCTGCACTCACTATTATAAAAATTACACTACACTCATGTGACAAAAGGAGCGATCCACCCATATACCTATCCCATAAAGGAAGCGGAATCTTTTCAGGATCATATTTCGTCAACTGGAATTGCCATATTTAAAAACAAATGTTGTGTAATGGAACGGGCTCATTTTAATCTTTATTGAAGAAGCCGTTGGAATAAAACATCCTCAATTCCAAGGGAACAACTTCATGCACAATATGTCAGCGGATTGATCACCCAAACTGAGATTTTAGGAGGTCTAACGAAAGACATTTGTGGGTCATAGAGACATATTTTACTAACTCGTTCTTATATGCAGGTGTGTGAAAAATACAAAACAAGTGAAAAGTATCTCCCCCTTCACATTAGTGGGACAAAGAGTGTCCTTTTACAGACTCGTTCTAATATGAGGGTGTGGGAAAAATATGTTGACGATATAGTCAGAATAACGGACAGTGATATGTAGTGAGTTTAGTTACAATGCAAATATTCATACATGTAGCTGCTGTGTTGTATGCTCTGTGTTACTAAGAGACATTCTGACACGTTGTTTCTTTGTCTGCTTGCTCAAAATGTGTTATGAATATGCATGGAGATGTTAATTAGGACCCCAATTATACATACACACTGATTCAGTTACACACCACACGCTATTAATAACGTCTTGGTCTTGCCTGTAGATGGACACTTACCCATAGAGCATAGTCTCTATTTAACCAATACTCAAAAGAAGTATATTTCTTTTTATAACAAATGTTGAAGCATACTTGCACACGATTAACTATTCAGTTGGTGTAGAAAAGTGGTGAACTGAAGGACATGGCTCACTGAATATTCAAGGCATTTCAACAGAAAAGAATACAACCTGTATTTACTCTCCCACTTCATGTATGAGGAATGAAGAGACCCCAGGCAACCGGGACGTTACGCAACAAACACAGAGGCTATGACTCACATATGTTCTCATTAAGTAAGGGAGGAGTTCTAGCAGGTGGTCCAAAATAGCCATGGCAGAATGATGATCCACCGAAGTGTTTTGTTTCCGTTGCATTCCTTATGCACGAGTTTAGCGAAATTATTGCTGGAATATTGCTAAAAGCGGCGTTAAACCAAACTCACTCACTCACTTACTATTCATTAAGGGGATACATATTTTATTTCCGTTGTTTGTACATTGTAATGTCCAACATTTGGCTTCGCTAGGCGTGACGGTTAGGTATAGGACGTAAATATACATTGCATATACATGTAGGTAGTGAATGACTATATACTCTGTGTACATCACGTACAATGATATTATGTACTTTGTAAATATAGATGTTTTGATTGTCCACCGCGTAATTGAAAACATGTTATATATACTACTCAACTCCTGATAAGGATATTGAGCTGACCAAATCGCATCCTATTCCTGACATCTCCAAACAACCAGGTTTATCCCCCACCTTGACACTCAAAATAAGCGGATCAAATGTTGAGTAGTATATAAAAATATATATCAATGCTCAGCATAACAATCTCGAAAGATTCTAAACACTTTCGTGATTAATTAACACCACCACTGCAATAATTCCGGAAACAATAGATACTTATGTTTGATGAAACAAAAACGCCTGTTCAGAGTGCTTTAAGCAAGGGACGAGTCTATCGTCTCCTTTTCCGGAAAAAGATAACTATGTTTGAATTGTACTGTTACCGCCAATATATGCAGGTCATATTTGAAATATGTTTGAGACAATAATCACAAGCTACCACAAAGAATGCAAAAACTTTTTAAAATATAGATTGTTGTACGTAATATATCACATGGATAAGCACACCTCCTTCATATATTGGTCAGTGTTGTAGGCCGCATACTGACAGGGAAGCGTATAGATTTGGGCTGCTTGCACATCAACAAGCGACCCACGTCAAGCAAGAGGCGACCCACGTCAAACACTACTGACTTCTTATGTTCTAGATCTTGAGATCTGACGTTGTTTTTAGTGCCGACGACTATGACGCATCATTTACAGAAACTACAATTTCACAAGATGGGGTTTGATTCGTGCTAATTAGTTGACCCAAAATGCAAATGGATCTGACCGAGCGATTCAGTAGCCAGTGCAATGTTTGGGGAAAGCGCGCACATCAAATATTTGAAAAGGAACGTCAAATATATACAGAGAATCACATGTCAAACTAAATTCGAAATTGCAGATTGTGACATTGTATAAACTGACCTTTTTGAGCTATCCATTTAATATCCTTCAAGACTTCATTAGCTCTTTATCATGTCCTTCTGGTCGTTTCGTTACTCACGATATAAGACAATAATCTAGATCGCGACGATAAACCCTATTTAAACTCATCTCACCTTTTCGTGACATCATTAGCACTTTATCACATCCTTCTAGACTATGTGTGACATCAGTAGCACTTTATCACATCCTTCTAGACTGCGTTTGACATCATTAGCACTTTATCACATCCTTCTAGACTGTGTGTGACATCAGTAGCACTTTATCACATCCTTCTAGACTGCGTTTGACATCATTAGCACTTTATCACATCCTTCTAGACTGTGTGTGACATCAGTAGCACTTTATCACATCCTTTTAGACTTTGTGTGACATCATTATCACTGGACAGGGACGTGTGATATCGTGAGCTCTTTGTCATATCCTTCTAGATATTGTGATGTCAGTAGCACTTTATCACATCCTTCTAGACTTTGTGTGTCATCATTAGCTCTTTAGCATATCCTTCTAGATATTGTGATATCATTAGCTCTTTACCATATCCTTCTAGACTGCGTGTGACATCATTAGCACTTTATTATATCCTTCTAGACTGTGTGTGACATCATAAGCACTTTATCAATCCTTCTAGACTGTGTGTGACATCATTAGCACTTTATCACATCCTTCTAGACTGTGTGTGACATCATAAGCACTTTATCACATCCTTCTAGACTGTGTGTGACATCATTAGCACTTTATCACATCCTTCTAGACTGTGTGTGACATAATTAGGACTTAATCATATCCTTCTAGACTGTGTGTGACATCATAAGCACTTTATCACATCCTTCTAGAATGTGTGTGACATCATTAGCACGTTATCACATCCTTCTAGACTGTGTGTGACATCATAAGCAGTTTATCACATCCTTCTAGACTGTGTGTGACATCATTAGCACTTTATCACATCCTTCTAGACTGTGTGTGACATAATTAGGACTTTATCACATCCTTCTAGACTGTGTGTGACATCATTAGCACTTTATCACATCCTTCTAGACTGTGTGTGACATCATTAGCACTTTATCACATCCTTCTAGACTTTGTGTGTCATCATTAGCACTTTATCACATATCCCTAGACTGCGTGTTACATCATTAGCACTTTATCACATCCTTTTAGACTTTGTGTGACATCATTAGCACTGGACAGGGACGTGTGATATCGTGAGCTCTTTGTCATATCCTTCTAGATATTGTGATATCATTAGCTCTTTACCATATCCTTCTAGACTTTGTGTGTCATCATTAGCTTTTTATTATATTCTTCTTGACTTTGAGTGACGTCATTAGCTCTTTATATTATCCTTCTAAACTTTGTGTGATATTATCAGCTCTTTTTCATATCCTTCTAGTCTTTGTGATATCGCTAGCTGTTAATCACATTCTTCTTGACTTTGGGTGATATCATTAGGTCTCTACATTAATGCTTCTAGGCTGTGTGTGATATATTTAGCTCCTTATCATACTTGACGCCTCATGCTTTCTTCTATAATGGAGGGGACATAGTAGACGAGGCTATTATGTTACATTCAAGCTTATATTAGTTATGGGAAAATACATATAGTGAAAGGGTAATGATTTGGGCAGGACTTGTCGCAGAGATGCAAAAGTGCCGGTGAATGTACCAAATGTGTTAATTATTTGGGTAAAATAATATATAAATATATATTTAATGTAATTGGATCTGCTATTTTATGGGCAGTCAACTCTGCTTTTAACAGACATGTCCTGTCCATATTGAAAAGGTTTTGTCGATTGTTCATTGGAACAACTGCTTAATATTTCAGCCCATCTATGTCTTTGATGATTTAAAATGAAAAATCACCGCAGCATTATGATTTGCCAAACTGAAATACATGAATTATCTCACATTCAATATCGACACGTGTCTGTATGAAAATAGAATAAATGTTTGGTCATAATGAAAGACAAAAATCTCAGAAATATACTTGTAGCTCATATGATAGAGGCCAAAGCTCCAGGAAATTACACGTACACGAATACATGGATTGCAATATGAATTTGTATTTACAACATTTACGGATTTTCTAGAGGCTATTCTATCCAAATTCCATGGTTTCCGTCACACCTTATTTTGTACAGTGTAAAGTTCGGATGAATGATCACGAAACATCACAAGCAGTAATCCACCTCGAAGCAGAACGAAGACCATCAAAGGAGAAGAACATGAAAGGAAAATTAGATAAATACACAATAATTGATGTACAGGTGCAGTACCAGATCATGGTTACCACAGTAACCACATCTCCTGCGGGATGTCTGATGTACTGCGTGGTGACTGTAGGTGTACATGCTCTTGAATTCATTACCGAAACCGAGCGTTGTGATTTGAGAACAATCCTTTCCAGAATAATATTATGTAGAGCTTCATGGGTTATCCCTATAGAAGGTGGTTAGGGTTTAAACACACAAATCCCTTCAATCTGATAGAATCGGGGACGGGGATTTATGACAAGATCCGGGCACGAGGTTGTGAGTAAGAATAGGACATCCTGCCTCCTAGCGACCGTCTGATTCATGTACTACGTTTGCATTGTTTCATTGCTAGTTTGGGGATGACATCAGCCGATGGACTGACTACTAATCAGCTTGCCATTGTATTCTCGTTTACGGATGTTTTACATTTTCTTTCCTCGGCAACACTTGCACCAGATTCCCCATCTTAACTTTGACTATCTTTCAAGTTCGCACACGTGAATCTTACTTGTGCAAAGACTTGCTCACGCCCGTCCGCTCTCCTCCTTGATGGTCTTGCAGCAACAGACATTTACAAAAGAAATTGTTGGTTGATGATGACGAAGCTGATTGTGACGAATATCCGATTGCTGTTGAACAACATGGTTGACCTTTGAAGATACAGGGCCTTTATAAAGGCAGCCAAACACTCCCGAGCCTCTGTCAGGACCACAGAAACACCAACATGAACACATTTATCATTTTGACTATTATAATTTCTCTACCTGCGTTATCACTGCAACAAAATGGTAAGTAACATACATGTATTAAATTAGAGATTATGAGAAGATCATTTTAACTTTATAGTAGTTCAGAATTAATACTTTTATTTATCAGTACTTAGTGTTTCATAATTTGATTTTATTATGCCTCAAACATTTTGATCGAACACAATAATTTAATTGATCATATCGTGTGATATTATTATGTTAAAGGCTTGCACGCTGTGATTTCCTTTTACTGTAACGTAGGGATGGAAAGATGTACGCTGTCATCGTTTGATGTTTATTTTAACCAACATGGACATGTGTGTATTGAAAAGATGTGCGCTGTACACCAATAACAGCAAGAACCCCATTATACTAACAAGACAAATTTCACTATGATTGTTCCGTCATGCTTTAATGAATATTGCTTGGTTTTATCTCAACTTTAATCTAAAGTATGCCACATACATGAATGCCTTACATCAATGAGCAAATACTAGCAATGCTGCATTTACTAATTACATTAATTGTTTTTTTCAGCTCCTTATACATTTTGTAACACACTGTGTAACCTGATCAAAACATGCTCACCTACCGCATCTTACTGTAGCAGCGCCAATGTGATCAGACTATCGAATTTATGCCGTTGCCAAGGTAAATATGTCATTCTAATGCTTGCTAAAAATATACTTATAAGAATGATTAGAGAAAGAATGAACTTATTAGATAAACGTTCAATATGAATGGATCAGGTTTGAAGAAGTTAGTAATTTATTGTCGTCTTTTTATTTCTGTTTTAAGTATTCTTTATCCATAAGATAAAGATAACACCTTAATAGATGTATGAGTAATTCTACCAGGAGGACATGGAACGTAGCGTATCTATATTTTTTTTATAGGAATTGAAACCAGTAAATCTTGAGGGATGCTAAATGCATTCCCCATCTTACTGATATTTCTTTACACTCAGATCGAAAAGATAATTTTTTGGTCCTTAATTTGGCTGGTATATAAAACTTTGTAGTGTCTCCTAAACCTCATCTTCGCAACATGAAATTGAACATGGACGAAATAAAACTGAAAAGTAAATTAAAGCACCATAATGATGATGATATCTGATGTTCGTGAAGGGTAAATTATGTCGGTCCTCCATTCAGGCCAAGTGAGTGAGTGAGTGAGTATGGTTTTACGCCGCTTTTAGCAATATTCCAGCAATATCACGGCGGGGGACACCAGAAATGGGCTTCACACATTGTACCCATGTCGGGAATCGAACCCGGGTCTTCGGCGTGACGAGCGAACGCTTTAACCACTAGGCTACCCGACCGCCCCGCCAAGCTGATTGAGGTCAGTAAACAGTTGATCCTGGACAAAGAGTTTCTATAATTCATGAATGACAACATCCGCAAAGCTTAATAAAAGCGACAAAACCCTTGTCATAGTCATAAGATATAATCTGCGAAAAGGAGAGTCTACGGTAAGATTCCGACTTATCATAATTATGTGAAGAACACATAAATTATTGTCATTATTACATCTCCTAAATGGATGATTATTTGGGTGGTCAAGTTATCGAAAGTGCAACGATGTGCTGTGCAGGTGAAGACTTTGTATCTTAGATGTCATTATCAGACACAGATCGAACATCAGACGGGCCAGATGGACGTACTTGGTTTTTCAGCACCGTGATCTAGTGATCAATAGCCATTCTTTTGTTTACAGAAGGTACAGGGATTGGCAATCCCCCTACAAGAAGGCCTACAAGAAGGCCTACAAGAACAACTACTACCACTACTACTACGACGACAACAACAACTCGAGTGCCATTTGTCAATAACCGTGAGGCAACATGTCGTTTATTTGATACACAATAAATAAATATCTATTTTGAATTCTTAACTGCATGTAGCAATTATCTACGCCACCTTAAGAAAAATGTAACAGATATATAATCCTTTTGTGAAAGTTCGAAAGTTAATGCTTTGTCATACGATGAAACCTTGTTAACTTGAACCTCTGAAACCATTAATTCGATATACATGGTTAACTTAATGATCCCAGTAGGATCTCCATAAATCGATAAGTTGTCTAATATGAAAACTAAGTTTGTCTCAAACCACGGATAACTTGATATTGGGCGATGTAGTCAGAATTTTCTGAAACCTTGATACTTTATATACATGTAAACATCTATTTGTAGAATGCGGCATCAGTGGAATTGCAAATCCTCAGGTATATGTGGATTCCTTGCCTCGCGTAGTGGGTGGGAAGGACGCCCCAGAGACCTACTTTCCGTGGCAAGTGATTGTCAAACCTGGTGGTGCCCGTTGTGGCGGCACAATCATCAGCAAAGACACTGTCATCACGGCTGCACACTGTGTGAAGTTAGTCATTTTGTACATAATTTCTTTCATGAAATTGTTTAAAAATGAATTCTGTAACATGTTATTGAGAAACTGGTCAGGGTTACATATTGGTTTAAATTTTGTTGATATATAATTACATACAGAGATGTTTCCACTCTGATACCTGAACAACCCAAATAGCTTTCGTACTCTTATGGTGTTTCTATTTTCTGTTTAAGATTTATGGATATACAATTAATTTTAAATTTAGGACATCATAGGACTTTATCATCTACACGGATTATCATATACGATAAGGGTTGTTGATTCGTCACTTGAAATGGACAATGTTCCTACTACAATGCATCACATAGATACATACATAGATACACACATAGATACATGCATGCATCCATCCATGCATCCATCCATCCATCAACCCCCCCACCCACACCCATCCACCCACCAACCCACCAACACCCCCCCACAACCACCCCCACCCCCCCCCCCCCCCACCCCCCCCACCCCCCACACACACACACAAACATACATAATACTTATCCTTAACATAACTCGTATTCGGTACATAAAATATATTTATGTATTCATTTCAGCAATTTCCGAAATGATCCTCGCTCGGTTCAAGTAGGCCATGGTTCTGTTGACAGCAACTTCGCAAAATACATAACAGCTTCCCAAATAATCGTACATCCTGGCTACAGTCAATCCTCAAGTAATTTGTATTTGTAAACTAGATTTGTATTGTCTGTCTAAGATGAAGCACCTATATTTTTATCTTTAATTTAATTCTGACATGTGTGTAAAAATACAGATTAAGTTCAGGAGTAATAAAACAGTGTTTTTTTTTCCTGTTTGGTAATATAATTGTATACTTGAATATTATCTCATTCTTGCCATAACCGATGATCTTGCTGAAGCCCTTTTATAGTATATGGCACATCGAAGCAAATTTGTTTGTCACAAGCCATGATTTCTTCGGAAATTGTCAAAATCATGAACGCCATCTTATAATTTGTAAGATATATGTAAAATTAGAATATTGCCTATGTCTTTGTTGTCGTATATTACCTCATAGTGTTTTAATTTTGGACAATCTTTTTCAGACCCGGACATTGCGATCATCAAGTTATCGAGGTCAATCACATATACAAGTAACAGCCGCCCAGCTTGTCTTCCTCGCAATAATCAAGCAGTCGACCCTAATCAGCTAGCTGTTGTCACCGGGTGGGGGATACTCCAAGGTGAGCATTTACCACCACCACATTTGCATTTAACGGGGAGCAGGGTCGTGCACATTTGCAGTCCCAGCACGTTTGTTAACTTTTGTTAATGGTATTTGATGATACCAGTTCAATTTTCACAGTGTGTTTCCTTTTTCTCTTGACATGTGATTGAACTTTCAGGAAATCAAGAGTCGGGATATCAGTCCAGCTGATTATGAATACTTCAATTACACAGTGACAATGTCTCAGTTTCACGGAACTAATTTCAACGTCTTGATATACGTGAGATAGTGGATGATAGGTCCTCATGAATATACTATGGTTTCGTTATCATCTTCAGGTAACAGGGATTCTTTATCCTTTGGTTTTACTAAGGTTTAAAATTAAAGGTTGCTTGTGGGAATATGAATACACACGAATAAAAACCGGACGGCAATGCAATGACTGAGGTTTTTTGGAGCATAACAAAAACTTACTTGTATAAAATCTGAGGCCATGATCATGAACAAAATGTTCGTCAATAGAAGCTTATTGTCAAGCTCACCTGGTCATAGGGTCTCCCTCCTTCTTCTTAGTGGACAGAAAGTAAACCAAACTTGTCTGCAAACATCACAACATAGTTTAAGGCGAGGAATGGTAACTAACGGAACTAATATTAAACCGAACTTTTTACGGGACAAACTCAAGCTTGATTGAGTGATTTGGGTTAAACGCCGCCTTGAACAATAATTCAGATATATCACGGCGATGTGGGAGAAAAGCCCGATGCTATTCAGGTCTCAGACGTTTACTACTCTGGTGAAACACTCGAGCTCGTGAATGGGGCTGACGAGCCTAGAAACATGATCGAGGCGACCCGGGATTCGAACCCACGATCATATCTTTATGGATTAAACATGGAAAGCAACTCTGAACAGCGAATTTTGGAGCCTTAGACGGGTCACCAATGTGCCCCAAAACCTTAACGATGTGCACATTCATCTAACGTCGATCACTATCGATGCACGCGCTACATTAAATTGTTTATACTCAGGCTGTATTGGTATAAGTGATTGAAAGAGCATGCATACACTTCAAAATGTGTGATATTTGTACTCGTCACATGTACGTTCATGTTGTAGAGGGCGGGAGCAGAGTTCCCAATATTATGCAGTATGTTGCTGTCCCTATCGTCGACCAGGAAGAGTGTAACAATTACTACAGCGGAGGAATCCGTGACAGCGAGTTCTGTGCAGGCTACACCCAAGGTGGACGTGATGCATGCCAGGTGAGATAATTAATACAGGCGTCAGTACAAAACCAAAATGGTTCCACTTTGATAAAATTATATATTTTTTAAAATTTATATTACTTTTTATTTTTTCTCGTTTTTTAAAAACTTTCTGCTTATGTGTTGCGATATTAAGAATTTTTCTTGTTACTTCGAGTATTTTCTTGTTGTTTCAAGTTTTAAAAAAAAATCTAAATTTCGAATTATTTAATTAAATTGAGTCCATTCTACGATTCCAACTATATGATAAGCATGTGTTTATGAATCACGCACAGGTGAACAGGAATCTATTTAATAAACCCAAATATTAAGGAGAAGGAAAGTACAAACGAAAGTTTATTTTTTAACTGATGTTTTTGTCCTTCTCTTCAGGGCGATTCCGGTGGTGCCCTTGTCATGCCAAGTCCGTCGGGCAGAACCTGGGAACTGATCGGCGTGGTGTCCAGGGGAACTGGATGTGCCAGACCAAACAAGCCGGGCATATATGCCAGGGTGCCAAACTATGTGTCATGGATACAACAGAACATGTAACAAGTCCCTATTGTAGCGTATGACTGGATGCTACACAGTTGGACTGGTGTCATTTTCTTATGGAGTTAACATCATGTGAACCTGATGTTGTTACTATGCAATAAACTGTATAGACGAACGTCTGTAAATGCTCTTAATGGAGCGAAGTCAATGTCGGAACAACTAGAGGAAGTTTCTATTTAATATCAGAACATAAAACACCGGTGATACATATTTATATGACTTGTATCCAGAATACCGTGAATTTTCTATGATATTTTCAAAGGTAAATGTTGGCCCGGTGATCATAGGGTAGATATGTATGTGAATGACTGTACATACTTAATTAATAATGATCACAATGTGTAATCATTGTATGTATCAAATATTGACATAAACACAATGTCAACAATCTAAGCAAATTGTGTTACGAGGAGCATTAAATACACGACCCAATAACAAGCTATTGAATCCTGAATAAGACTAATAAAATTGTCTGTCAAATATATTTTGAAATTTTGTTGTCCTTAATGCTGACGTTTAACACACAGTATAAGCGTGCTCGGAAGAGTTGTGGAAAAACTTGTGCATACAGGTGGTAGACCATGCCTTCATTGTATCGGGAGAACATATTTACATGTGTTTAAACGGAAGACCAAACACTCCCTCGTTATCAATGTACTGGGTTTTATAGTACTTCAAACAGTGTAGTCCACATCCCTACACACCTATATGCTGTGTGTGTTTTTGTAATCCATCGGTACATAATGTTCTATTGTGCACGTTCCTAACCACACAGGTGTATTTGGACTGTTGCTTGTCGATGAGTACGGAGGATTACGTAGATTCCCGTATCAGTAGATTTCATGCGTCATTCCTTTCTTTGAAATATGCATCCCATTAACTAATACAATGAAAACGGTAAAAAAAATAGTCAAAATAATTAGGAAAGCGCAAGGCTCAGGAACGTCTGAGTATAGGAAATTAAAGGATTTATACTTTCGAAAGTTATATAATCGTCAAATAGGCAAACGAATATCAACCGGCTTTTAAAACTTATTTTTGTAGAAGGTGATCTTGGTGTATATTGCCAGATATTATATGTATATACATTTTTCCGCTGTTGCTTATTTTAATGTTTATTAATAGTTATAAGGTTCGTCCGCCTATTTGACGGGATTTCACTTTCTCATTTGTACATGACACTTAAGCAGTGTCCTGTTACTGTAAATAGGTTAGTTTCAAATTCCAAACTGGTGATGTGTATTCAGACAAATGCTTAGTCTCTAAAACTGTATAGTTTTGAAAGAAACAAGTACCACCCAAACCGATCCAAACGGGACCTGAAAACTTATTGTATGCTATATAGTCACATGGAAGTGCACCAGAATATATAAATAATTGTATTCCGGACGATTGTGTTCTTTCATTTACTTTTAAGTCAGGAAAAAAAGACTTAAAAGGAGAGTTGGTGAATTTAATTATTAAATGTTGCCTATACACTAATCTGGACGTACTATTCATTGTTCTATTTATATGATCCTATATATATTGTATATATAAATATACAATAACGTATGTTACCGTTCTTAAAGTCATAACCTTATATTGTCCATAGTATAAAAGTTTAATCAACAATATCAAGAGCAGCAGAAATACAATTTCTTGCAACATTTATACTACGAGAAAGTAAGTCTAACGCTTACGCACCGGTGGAACGTAGACAATATCGCTAATACAGATATCACGTATTTGAATGTTGATACTAAAGACAAACACTCATTATTTTTGCAGTGACGATATAACACTTACACACGTTTATTGGTGACTTTCATCAGTTTTGCATTTCATTTTAATAACAGTTACTTGTTTTCACATATACAACTAGCAATACCCGACTAGCCTGTCATAGAAGAAGAAGAAGATATTTTATTAAAGTGTCACACACATATATACAATTCAATAAATATCTGTTAAAATATCGTTACAATGTCATACAAAATTATGGGGCAGTTTTCAATCTTCTACTGACTTACTCTGGTGTTCCTGAGCGAAGCTTATTGGCTTGGTTGTTATACACTGTTTTTCTGGTTATCCTATTATTACTTCATTTTTATCTAATGACACCCTGTTCTCTGGATCACGGCTCCGTGACTATCCATAACAATTAAGATGAACATTCAGTTCAAGTACATGAATGAGTTTGTTTTGACGCCACAGTCAGTCAAAGACCAATGCTGTGATGTTTGATTACACACTTCTACCAGGTCGAACATCGCGGATCTTTATTTTCTACCTAAAGAGAATCATAGTCCATATGCTAATCCATCTACGAAAACCGTCCCGCTCAAGATGACCTTACTTGTTGTTAAATCCATCAACTATCCCCCTACTCTAACCCCCACGCCCCCCCCCCCACCCCATACCCGCACGCACGCACGCACGCGCACGCGCGCACACACAACGGACCTAAATAACCTGGAGAGGAAATACTGATAGCCTCTGGTCAACACCGCCGCGCTACCACAGAATGTTCGTCCAACTCTGCAGGTGGCATTCTCAGTAGCTTCAAACGCGCTGAAATGTTTTTGCCTTGCATCCAAGATGGTGGACAAGTGAAATCGTATGATATTTGGCTATTTTAGGTCGCTATGTCTTTTTGGATTACCCAATAAAGACAATTCATGGTTACACGGTTGTGAAGAAGCTTACAACTTTATAACACTTATTCATCTCCATCTCCAATAGAGCTACTCATAGTCACATAAAGTTGTAGTTGTAATGTCACTGTTTTATTTCTTTAAAAATATATTACGTGTTCATCAATAACAATGAAGATGAACATTCAATTTCCGATACAAGTAAATAAATAAGTGTGTTTTACGCCACAATCAATCAAAGACCAAAGTTGTCCGGTTTGATTGATTGAGTGAGTGAGTATGGTTTTACGCCGCTTTAAGCAATATTCCAGCAATATCACGGCGGGGGACACCAGAAATGGGCTTCAC